CTGTAGCATAACAGTGGTAAACGATTATTATACACTGGTGTGATTTCGGGAAAATGTTCATCCTAACGGCTTTTTAGTACAAGCAAATAGTTATGCTAACTTACCTATTTCGAGTACGCTGAATTTATTGTTTGCTCTACCACGGTTGTGTTTTTAGTCCCTGTTCTTAAAAAATCAAATTCAAAATGGCCGCCATTGTTTTGTTTGTTTGCTTCAATTCTCCCATAGGCAAGAATAAACATCTCTTTTAAAGTTATGGTTATTTTAGTCTGCTGTAGTGTGAACGAGATGAATGAATGGACATGAAAGATAAATATAATATGGTAGCCATCTTGGATTTAAAAATGTCTGCCAATTTTCTTTGTTTCTATATACTGAATAATATGTAAAGAAGGCTTTTGAGTAGGCTTGCTTTCTTTTATTACAATAAGTATAAGTGCAGTGATACTAATTAAAACTGACAAGGGCAAACTTAGAGAACCATCCATTAAAACTACAAACTTTACGTTGCAAAAACTTCACAGTTTATAGCAAAATAAAAGAGAATCATTTTTGCGTTGTCATTTAGATGCTATTTTCACATTTCCAAGCATTCAAAAAATGTTCTTTTCAACTACTGCAATGATTTTATTATCTCCACCGAAAAAGCGGCGGGGGATATAGAAATAGTTCCCGTCCGTCCGTCCGACCTTCCGTCCGTCCTTCTGTCCGACATTTTTGTCCGGAGCATATCTCAAAAAGTATTTGAGGTATCAACTTGAACCTTCATAGGTAATTAGACCTTATTGAGGAGGAGTGCAGTGCACAAGATTGATAACTCTTCCCTGCATATTTTTGAGTTATTGCCCTTTGTTATCTTTCAAAATTAATTTTTGTCCAGAGCATTACTCAAAAAGCCTTTGAGATATAAACATGAAACTTCATAGGTGCATAGATCTCACTCAGGAGGTGTGTAGTACACAAAAATGATAACTCTACCTTTCATAATTCTTGTGTTAATGCCCTTTGTTATTTTTCATACTTAATTTTTCACTTGACTGGAGCATAACTGAAAGAGTGTTTGAGATGTCAACATGAAATGTCACAGGTGGATAGATCTTATTGAGGAAGAATGCTGTTCGCAAGAATGATAACTCTTCGTTATACAATTTTTGAGTTATTGCCCTTTGTTCTTTTTCATACTTTTTTGTCCGGAGCTTATCTCAAAAAGTATATGAGGTATTAACTTGAAACTTCATAGGTGGATGGATTTTATTGAGGAGGAGTGCAGCACACAAGAATGATAACTGTACCCTGCATAAGTTTTGAATGAATACCCTTTGTTATTTTTCAAAATTAATTTTTGTCCATAGAATAACTCAAAAAGCCTTTGAGATATCAACATGAAACTTCATAGGTGCATAGATCTCACTCAGAAGGTGTGCAGTGCACAAGAATGATAACTCTACCTTTCATTGTGTTTGGGTTATTGCCCTTTGTTATTTTTCATATTTAATTTTTCACCTGAGTGGAGCATAAGCCAAAAGTGTTTGAGATGTCAACATGAAATGTCATAGGTGAATAGATCTTATTGAGGATGAATGCTGTGCACAAGAATGATAACTCTTCCCTATACAATTTTTGAGTTATTGCCCTTTGTTATTTTTCATACTTTTTTGTCCGGAGCTTATCTAAAAAGTATTTTAGGTATCAGCTTGAAACTGAAAGGTGGATGGATCTCATTGAGGAGGAGTGAAGTGCACAAGAATGATAACTCTACCCTGCATAATTTTTGAGTTATTGCACTTTGTTATTTTTCAAAATTAATTTTTGTCCAGAGCATAACTCAAAAGGCCTTTGATATATCAATATGAAACTTCAGAGGTGCATAGATCACACTCAGGAGGTATTCAGTGCACAAGAATGATAACTTTACCTTTCATAATTTTTAGTTATTGCCCTTTGTTATTTTTCATACTTAATTTTGCACCTGAGTAGAGTATAACTCAAAAGTGTTTTAGATGTCAACATGTAATCTCATAGGCGGATAGATCTTATTAAGGAATGATGTGCTCAAAAATGATAACTCTTCCCTATATAATTTTTGAGTGATTGTCCTTTGTTCTTTTTCATATTATGTCGTCCGGAGCTTATCTCAAAAAATATTTGAGGTATCAACTTGAAACTTGGATAGATTTTACTGAGGAGGGGTGCAGCACACAATAATGATAACCTACCCTGCATTATTTTTCAGTTATTGCCCTTTGTTATTTCCAGCCATCAGTATTCACATAGGTTTCAAATCTGTAATCACTTCAGCCATCAGTTTTCATTACCAAAAGACCTCTTAAAATTGAATTATTCTGCTCTACTGCATGTACATTCTTCTAATGAGCAATCACATTCGGCGGGGGATGGCCATATTGACATGGTTCTTGTTTTAATTAGATTATATCGCCCAAAGGGAAGCCTGTACAATTGCCTATCCGCCTGACTATCCGTTTGATCTTATTCGTGTACCAGTAAGGTATATTGGACGATTTCCAAGTTGGCGTTAGATTAATTCCGTATTCGCATTGGTGGCATAAAGGCTAGCTGATTTTGCAGTTCGAAAGAATGATAAAGGTCACAAACACCCGTGCACGTAAACTCAGTAAGAACATATTTGTCTGTCTGTTTTAAGTCCCGTCCATCACTGTCATTTTTGGTTGGATTTTTGAATAAATTGCACGAATATGTGGCACATTCAGATAATGTCACAAACTAGTCCAAGGTTCGAAGCTTCAAGTAAGACTTAAAATTGCTTGAAAAACTTTGTCCAGTTTAGTGTTCCTTCATTCATAGTTGAATTTTGAAATAATTTAACATAACCACGCGGCTTAAAATATATGAGAGCATGTACTTTGTATTATTACTTGTCCTTCAAACAGGGAAAGTGTTTTGATATCAAACAGAAATGATATTTTTTATGTTAATTGCGCAAGAACATTGTACTAGGACATGTTGTACATGAGAGCCAGTTCAATAGCCCACAGAAAGACAATTTTGTTTAAAATCTTTAGTGGTAGATCTGATTAACAATTTTTCATTCACCAATCGATTAATATAATAGCATTTTCAAAATATATTAAGAATCGCCATTCAGGTGGGGTATTCGAAACATATTTTTTCATAAAATATACTCATTCTTGAACAGTTCATCTAATGTTTCTTCTTGATAGTTTGTAATCCATAAAAGACTACAGACTTGTTTAGATGAAAATAATATCACATTTCTATATATGGGTTACCGACAAAAACAGGGCCCGTAGACGCCGCATTTGAGGACTTATGTCGTCCATTTTGTTATCATGAGGTATTAAATCCTCTGTTTTATTTGGCAATGGTAGGTGGTGTAAGTACAAATGTTCCAATCTTGTTAATTGTATATGTCGCCTTCCTAGAACGACAATAACTTAATTACCTTAAATGTGCAATATGAAAAGGTCATGACATAGATACCTGCTATAGACCTATGTTATATGGTTCTCTGTATTATTCATTTTCCGTAAGATATTACAAGTCCGCCGGCTCTTTCTTGTTCAATAAAACCATTGTTTACGATTCATTTTTTCCAAAGACAAAGATCATAGAGCTTAAAATGGCATTTGCATTTCTTTAAGTTAACCAGTATTTCAATTATGGTAGATGATCTGATTTTGTAACCGTGCAGATATATAAATCTGGGCATGTTAAGCGTTATTCACTGAAATCAAGCTCCTTGTTAAATACGACACTATATAAAATTGAATACAACAAAAACTGATACATATAAAAAAAAGAAACCAAAAACCGAAATAATGTTTTACTGTTGGCTCAGGTTGACAGAAAGAATGTATAAACAAATTTCACAATTTCAATGTTTAAATGTTGATTTCTGCTTACGCCTGAGTAATTAGCCTGCAACATTTTCAATTTTGCCGTTTTGGGCATTCGTCAGGGATTCTGATTTTTTCTATTTTGAACCGTGTTGTTCTTTGTTGTTGCAATTTCATGCGAGCACAGACGCATAGAATCTAGCCTGTGAAGATGAAAGTATTGGCATACTGAATTTTACTTTGTCATTTCAAATTGTAAAATGACTTCATTGTCCATTAAGGTTAACACACATATTATTTTATCAAAATTAAATTTAATTTTCTTTTTTGTGATAAAGATCCCTTTGTTTAAAAGCACCCCACTTATATATTTTAGAAAAGTGTGTCCATTTTGAAAGATCGCCATCATTGTAGTCAATAAGTAAATCATGTTTAATTATCAGCCAATCATTTATAAAAAGACTCTCAAATTTTATTTCATGTGGTTTAACTGGAAAATGTTACGTTATAAGTATAATTATAAAGTAAATAGTAAAGGTCAATGGCGGCCATGTTTATTTGTCCATTTGAAGGCCAAGGACTTCGAGTTCAGTCGTATTAGGGCAAAAATGGATTTAGGGATTCAGCGTACCTGAATTATAAAAAAAGATTGACTACCTGCTTGTACTAAAAGAAAATGTCATTAAACTCTAAACCCGTCTACCTGAAGTTTTCATCCTCCACTAAAGTTAGAAAGTTACCTTATGCCTTTAGAGTGTTAGTGAGACTAACAAACAAAAGCCTTTAACAATAATCAGTGGACTTGAATGACTTAATATAATTGATTTCATACTTCAAGTTTTGACCGAACTTATATTAGAAAACAAAACAAAAACATATGAAGTTGCAGTTTTCTGATAGTTGTAGATTCTGTAATAAATATTAGATCAAAGTAGATTTAAGATTAACAAAGTATGACATTGCTCACAAAACACATCCCCCGAGTAATAAAGCGCTATCTTTCTTTTTTTATTGTTCTAATAAATTCCCATATACATGTACATATTTTGAGTTGTGCTGATAATGCTGTTGGTGTTTTTGTGTTTTGTTTTTATTTGTAGGTATGGCGTATAAAATGTTAATCATTGAATGGAACAAATTATATTGATAATATAACTCATCCTTTTTTTTTAGGTTTTATTATTTTTTATAAAAAAGCAGATAATAGGCAGTATAACAAGGAGTCAGCTGCAGAGAAAGAGGTACGATAATATTATATACAGGATAATTGCTTTAAATTTCCGAAAAGATGATAATGTTATATCCAATTTATAATGTAATTAATTGCCAGTTTCATTTTTTTAAATATGTCTTTGTACGTCTTCACTGTAGTATTTATGATCACGTTTAAAAATTCCATTTTGTTTAGTTCCGCCCATTGTCTTTCAGTTTAGGACACACATTTATTTTTACTCAGGGAACATATGTCGCTTTTCATGGAGCAGCTTCAAGTACGAAAGTTACACATTAAAAGTCCATGATAAACGCTGTATGAATTTTCACCATTTCATGTTTAAATGTTGAATTCTTCTTAAGCCGGTGCTAGGGGACGTGGGTGGTAGTTTGCACTCGACAGTCCATAACACACGCTCTGACGACAAACCGAATGACTCTCATTATATGAAGTCGAAAAATATATTATATTACAGTCATTTGAAGTTACATTTTGCAATTATTACAAAATAAGCTTGTATATGTATGATGAAAAGTAAATGAATCATATGTATGACATTTCTGATTAAAGGTAAGTGATATGAAATACATTGCTAATATTCTCGCGTAAAATATGAATGTCTAAACATTTGAAAATAACGTTTGCGTAAAAGCGCCATCTGTGAAATACATGAACAACTTGAATGTTACTCAGAACCAATATGGTCATCATTGTCCATCCATCTGTAAAAAAGTTTGAGAAATCATAAAAATATATTATAATCGCTAAAGCATATGATTCTATTATATACTTTTATTTGCCTAAAATAATATAAGGAGGGGAACCTAAGATGTTCCTCCACCAGTTAAGCTGGAAAGGTGCCATATGACATCTATGTTGATGTTTAAACGACAAATTACTAATTCTCGACAAAAATGTTGTATTAGTTATTGCAAGGGTGATAACGCGTGGGACATCATTTGGTTGACTTTGACTGAGCATCATTACGAGACCATACAAGCTAGCACACCACATTAATGTAAGCCACAGCTTCGAATGGACAGGAAGGATTTCTTGGATATAGTGGATATTCTGGATTTAAATGACTGGTTGTCTTTAAAGAGCATTTTCGACATGAAATTTGTTTTCGTGACATCTAATATGATCACTGTTAAATTTGGAAACATGGCAAGAAATCACATGCTGTTGATTATAGATGTCAAGGCCGCCATTTTGTGTAAACATTGCTTTTAAACAGCATTCACGGTAAAAACAAGTCATTTTACAAGGGGGGGGGGTACAATCTTATAGCAGTAACAAAAAACCTACAAGGTTGTGCTATATTTTGCATGTATAGGAAGTTTCTAAAGCAGGGTATATTTGCAGGTATTTTTTGCCAGAGGGACGAAATATGTTGTTTGAGGTCTCGGGCCACTGTTTTGGGCTTCAACGGAATTTTTTGACTGCCTGCCTATTGCAGATGGGATAATTTCTTTGTAGATTTGCAATCTTATGTCATATATCTTCTCAACAAAATGTGTTTTCTTTTTCCAGGTTGTATAGTTTGGTATCAGAATTATTAGACGTAGGACTTTGGCGGCAGTAACTTGAAATTAACTGTGGAGTGCTACCTAAACATTTAACAATAGAATTTTAAAGAAGATTTCAGAATTCTTTTCAATATTCATTTAATTAAGCTGGTATAAAATCGTTTTTGATATATATTTGTTTGAAAATATGTTTATGAGGAATCAACTTTTTTTGAGTTTTTAGAATGGGATCTTGTGTCATTCAATTTACAATCAAAATTTATAACAATAATTATGATCACAAAGATAAATATTTGTAGGCGTTGAGGTTAGTTAAAATGATTTATGAAGAATGCACCATTTCGAAAGAAATATTATTGAAAGTAGAAATTCATTATGGGCCAGACAAATGTTACATTCATTTTTCTTTTCTTCCTGTTTGTTGTGATGTTAAAATTTGCAAAATTACGGAGAAATGATGGTGAATTAACTGTATTTGTTTTTGATATTGATTGCTAGCCTAATCCCCCGTCGATCTTCTTTTTATGTCAAATGTCATGTATTTACGCATTCAATCACGCCTTAAACTATTTTTATTATTTCGTGGTCAAACAAGGTAAACTATTAACTTATATTTTAAGTATTTACCTTAACAATATATTCATCTAAATCAACGGGATCTTTAATATATCATTCTTTTCAAAACTGGCTTTCGCATTATTCTTTATTTACAAATTTACGCCGATTCACTCTTTGAAAGATATTGGTGTAAATATGTTTACAGTAGTATTAAAATATATGTAAATGTAAAATTACTAACCCCTAATTAGGGCTATTATTGACCCCAGGTGATATTGTCCAACAATACTGACCTGTCACTCTTGCATTTGACCTTATACTCGATAAATTGAAGTGCAAGGTCAACATTGATCAATATTGAAAATATTTTTCTTTTCTTGGTTTGTGTAAATTATTACAGTTGACCAATACGATAGAAGCTGTAGCTAACAGCCTTGCGGTTTGGACAAAATATTATTAACAGATATTGAATTTTGATTTTGCTTGATATAATAAGCGGATGAAGGCCTCATAAATTGAACATATTTGGCAAATATGATCAATTCAAATGCACAAGAGAAAATGCCTTTATTTAGGAAATTGTTAATAGGCATACGACATTATAACAGGAGGTACATGTCGCTCATTCCGATCTCTTAGGGTCAATTGTACAACAGCTATGAGTAAATAAAAATGCCAAGGTTCTTTGCAATAATTTACCATTGTTTTCGGTAGCGTCTAATATGCAGCGCACAAATTATCAACAATATTACTGCCACTACGAAGACAACAGCTCCCAAGACTGGTCCAACAATATTTAGATAGTCTTCTGAAATCAGAATTATGCATTTATATTATATATGAGGTCAGACGTTATTTATTTAGAATAGTGCTACATTTGACGTGAAAGATGACATCACTTGTATGAGATTAACATTTCGTTCTATCAAGAGTCGAATATGATTTTTATATACTCATTATTTCAAACATTGTGTTCTTTTTATAATTGATCAGATTTGCGCAAGTGGACCCAAACTTTGTTTAGGCGAAACTGAAACAAGAACTGTTATTTTACGGTTAAAAAGTATCTGATGACTAAAAAATATTATGTTAATACAGTTCATTCAATACTGTGAATTAAAATAGTTAATATATATGCTAAATATTTTAAATGGTGTTACCTTTGATACTTTCTTCATACGTATTTCTGAAAATTAAAAAGAAATTGTAAAACAAAAAGAATTAAAGCGTTATACTGGCAACAGACAAACTATATCCTAAGCCCTTGTACAAAAATGAAATATGATATGAAGGTATAAATGCAATTTTCACATAAAAGTACACTTATGTTTTACCGACAAATTGGCTTGTTGCCAACAACTTGACAACGACTATTCTTGTCACACTGTCCTGCAAAAAGTTCCCGTAGGTAACATGGGTCTGCATGTGTTGGTAATACTGGAAAATAATATACAGCCTTAGTATAAATAGTTCGTTATTTCTCCGTACAATGTGTGTTGTATAAATCATATATAATACAACTGTTGCTCAAGTCGTTAACTTCAAGTTAAGCAATACCGAAATATGCGTTTATACTTCGTACTAGTGAATATAAATATAAACATTTGATCTTTAAGATATGAAAAGCAAAATCATCAAAGAAAGGACTGCGTTCAACGAACGCAACCCACACACGACATAATAACACAAGTTATCCTTCATATACATAAGAATCTATACCGGGTTGTAACGCTATTGAGAAAATAATTGTGAAAACATAACTGATTACGATTTTCTGTGGCCAATTCTAAAGGTTCAAGATGAATATATACAGTAATATAAGATGCGATTTTTACCTAGACATGTTCATAACGAAAGTTAAATAATTTTATTCGGGTAAGGAATAAACAAGATTGCATTTGAGAAAAATACTATACCACCGCATTAACACAACACTAAATAGTATTGTAGGAAAAGTTTTTTTTTTGTTTCTATACAATTGAAGATTGTCATAATGCATAGATCCCTGACCTATCTTATTCTTATTATCGGATTAGTGGTTAAATATATTGTTAATCCAATAAAAGATCACAGTAGGAATATATCAATGCATTTGAGTCTAGTGGATTTGGTGGTGAAGGTCATATATCACACAGCCTAAATTTCATGACCACATCAAAGGACAACACAGTAAGACACTTTGTCAAAATCTAGGTCAGCTGATATCAAAGTTCACTTAACATCTTAATCCGTGCACATGGTTCAAATTTCATATCTGTACAACAAATGACAAGAAAGTAGGCGACATCATCAAAATCTAGGTCACCTGATATCAAAGTTCAACTTTACAACTGAAACTGTGCACATCAACACGGACTAATTTTGACACTAGAGGCAAAATTTGAACAACTTTGGTAGAGTACCTATAGATGATATCATTTAACAAATATTAAAGCTCTAAGCCTAGGACCTTCAGACAATAAGATTTTTTGTTTATTTACTATATGTATATATTGAAAATCAATGACTCCCGGGGCGGGGGCAATTTTGACTACCAGGTCTATAATTTGAACAATCTTGCTAGAGGTTCACTACACAATGTTTCATGTAAAATATCTAACCTCTTGAATTTGTCAATTGCTAGAAGATTTTTTTACGTTTTAACTATTAAGTTTTACTATATACATATAAAGAAAACCAATGATCCCTGGGGTGGGGCCGATTTTGACCCCAGGAATAAATTTTGAACAATCTGGGTAGAGGTCTATCGCACAGTGCCTTATGCAAAATATCTAAGCTCTAGGCCTTTTGGTTTTTACAAGAAGATTTTTTAAATTTATTCTTATAATTCGTATTTCGGTTGCCATGGCAACCATATTTCTGCATGGAATGAAATTCTTTAAACTTTTGAAGTCCTTTACCAAAGGATCAATCCTGCCAAGTTTGGTTGAAATTGGACTGGTGGTTTCTCACAAGAAGACTTTTTTAAGTTCACTATATAATCTAAAGAACACACACACGCACACAAACGCACACCAACACACACACACACACACACACAGGTGAATTGCTATATACCACCACATCGCAGATGCTGCGGTGGCATAAAAAAAGGAACATGTTGAGACATGATTTAAATCTTTATCACAAAATACGTAAAAGTACATTGTTTTGGCAATATTTCATTTGCCTGTATATTTTTAAAATCGATATAGAACAGTAAGTTAAGGACACAACAGCTACATGATAAGAAAAGAATAATTATTATAGTAAGTGCAATTTTTGACATGGTCGGGTTTAGTAAGATGAAAACGTCTAATTAGAACCATATGATAGAAAAATCATGTTTTGACATAAACACGGACATGTTTTATATGCCCATTAAAACAAAAAGTAATCGGTCATATTTTCAAAAGTTAAAAGATCAAATAAATTTATGGGAAATACTCGGTTTGACGGAAACAGGACGTCCGCCAATGTCAAGGCTTCCTTCTTCATCTAGATCCATAATTGCCTGAACAACAGTATCAGCTACCAAAGTCTGATTTTCCTTGTCATCAATAACGACTGTGTAATCTACAATAATACTTCCGGCTCTGTTAAAACAAATGAATTGATAAATGTGTGCAGCCAATTAGAATCATTTGTATTTTTAGTTGTGATGAATCAATAAAAAGACAAAATAACATCATGGATGTTTATTTTACATTTTTAAAGTTTAATTTCAAATTTTGTCATTGTTCCAATGGAAATTATTGTATTGATTCAAATGAACTTCAGTGTTCCGTATTTTATTTTTGTTTTTTATTTATTTATGTTTTGAAAAAGACTTACTAGTATTCTACAATAAACATTAGAATTAACAAGAGAAATATCTGTATATTTATGAGGTTTCGCAATGCGTTTGTTCAAGCGTTCTCTTTTAATCTGCATTATAATCTAATATATTTTTATTGTAACACGATAAAATAAAAAAGATACACGTCATAGAAGTCATATATAGGTTATACCCTCTGAAATATCGCATTTATTACATTTATGTGACAAATTCCATTTACTGAAATAGATAAAGTTTTACCAAATTTATTATCAGAATGAAGCTAAGTTGCCCCTTACTTGGTTTCATTGTTGTTTCATTTTTATGGTCCATATCAACGCATAAAGTGTAGAGAGTCTCCCCTTTGCCCGAAATTTATATCGTACAAACTGGAAAAACTGTATGTTCATTATTCCCATCATTAATACCTTTAATAAATCCATATTTATGTTCTTGTTATCTTGTATAAATAAAACAGGAGCATATGCAACTAACCTTATACTGTTGACATAAACGTAAACAGAAGCTTTAGTTGCCGTTCTGAAGTATCTTTCCAACTGGAAAAAAGGCAATTACCGTTACGTTTCGCACAGAAATGAAGAAGCGGAAAGGATACTTGCCGCATTATGTATTATAAGGGAATGCACGTTTGATTATATTAAACAAGTATGCTTTTACAAAAAAGAAATAATGCAAATCATATTAATGTATTCCAATTGCGCAAAAATATACATTCATATCTTTTTTTGTATTATATCTTTAACTTTTTACTGGTGCAAGGACTTTATTCATGACAAGAAAATAAACTTTGGTATAAAATACTAGAACACTTGATTAATTAAAGTAGTTTGATGCACCAACACATGTGAAAAAAAGAAGAAATGTGTATGAAGTGACTATAAAATGTATGTTAACCAACAATTTAAACATTTAGTTAGAGTTTTAATATTACTGTTTTCCTTATTTCTGTATATAAAAAGTAGTTTCTTAAAGATTTTTCACTTCCTACAGAGAGGCGAATAGATGAAGATACCACTTGTTCACTCACATCTGTAAAAAACAAGATAAATGCAATGACATTAAGGTATTAGAACCCTAATGGGCACTATAAAGAACTGAAAAATTGACATCATAGGTCAGATGTATACCTTAAAGTACACCTGTATGCAAAATTTAAACAAAGTTTACCGTACGGAAATCAAGTTATGGCCACTTTTCTGAACTCAAGCTAGGATGTTATGAGGGCCCTTTTTTAGAAATGAGGAACCTTTAAATAATCTGCAATAACTTTCTAATGAAAAATGTTTTCCCATTAATTTTTGGTTAGAAACAAATAGTACCATTCAGCTAACAACCCACATAAGCAAAATTATGGTTTTCTACATAAAATTTATGAAATCTGTATAAAAATGTTACCCTACCCCACCCATTTTACCACGTGTCTGACCATTTTTCTACTTAGGGAGCTTAATTTAAAACATTCTTAAAATTTACCCAAATGAGTGCCTGTTTTCAAAGTTTCCCTAAATTTTAAAAAAAGTATATTGGTTGATCTTGTAAAATATGAAATACTTTTTACCGTCTAGTTTTGATGATATTACACTTTGAAAATATCAGGTATCATATTTATTAATAGATTTAGCATAATTTAGCCAATAAATACCTATATAAATAAAAAAATCAAAATTAAACAATTTTTTCTTTCCAAATGGGACATGAGAGATACATAAATAATGTTAAAAGAAAAAAAAGAAAGAAAAAAAAAGTTGACCCTTCTGAGGATTGAACCCATGGCCCTCATTTTCAATGTAGTTAACAGTAGTTCTAGCCTATTTGAATACTCTTCAACACGGAGGTAATGCATTAGGGTGCTAATACCTTAATTTATGCTGATGTTACGACTTCAAATTGCTCAATGGTTGATATAATGTTATTCTAATTCGTTTATTGTTATAACAAGAGCATAACTTGAGACTCGTTCATATAAAACAGTTTGGTCGAGACCCGTTGGTGTCTTCATAGAGTGTTTTGAACTGTGCTTTTACTTATCAGATTTACTCAATATTATTACTAAGAAACGACAAGTTTTCAATACTTACAGAGACCTATTTAGTCCCTTTGTTATACTTTCGTTTATAAACTTTAAAATGCTCGGGAGAACAGTTTATGTTTACATGTTTAAAATGCTACGGTGATGGCTGATACATTTGCACGAAGTAGGGAATCTAAATTTCAACTTGGTACATTTTTGTTTTGTTTTTGTTAATGGGCCATATACTTGTTAAAGATAACATGACAAAATATTAAAAATTTCCTACGCATCTAATGATCATTATATTACGTTTATTTTGAAAAGGTTTAATTTTGCCGACAACATTTCCTACATCTGTTTTACCAGTAATATGCATGAACCTATTCTTCGTCATCTTAATATACGAGGGTTGTCCAAACAATTCGTGCACTGCTGTTATTGTCGTGAGAGTTATTGATAAAAAACATGAATTATCAATCACTTAAAGGGGAATTCTATCTCAATAAAGAAAACAAAAGAAAAAGCCGTGTAAGCGGCATGTCGTGCAAACGAATCGTCATGCGGTTACCTTGGTAATGCAATACCAGCGCACGACAAAAAAATGTTAGTTCATGATGCATTACAGTATCCATTAAACACTACATATAAAAGTCACAATTCAGAGCAAAGTGTGTGTACGTATTCCTAACGTCACTAGAAAATATGACGTCATTTACCCTTTTATAACGGTCGTAAACAAACATTTCTGTATGGTCTTCAATACTGTCATTACGGGGAAATGCCAGTCACAAAACTTCTGGAAATACGGACGATCATAAAATTTTGCGCAAGTATTTGTAAAACACCGAGAGATACCTCCAAAGAACTTAAAATGGCAAACGGGACCAGTTCAGTGTCACGAAGACTGATTTTAAAATGGCACAAAAGCTCTATAGAGGCGCAAGAGCCGGTAGACGATGACTAGAGATCAGGTAGACGCCCGTCCGTAATGCCGGCACATATGACCAAAGTTGTCAAATATATTCGAGCACTGGTCGAATAGGACCAGGAATATGTTACATGCACCTTGCATAAGAACAGTAAACACTACAAAATTCTTTTCATCAATCATTCCTCTATTGACAGTAAAACAAATTATGACATAAAAAGCAAATACCTTTTTACAAGCAACACAAAATTATTTACAATCACAGTAATGAACGAACCCAATTTTTTGTCGTGCGCTGGAATTGCGTTACTACGGTTCTTTTTCACGAAACGCCGGTAACAAGGCTCTTTCTCTTTTTTTTCTTATTCCAAGCAGATTTCCCATTCAAGTGATATATATTTCATGTTTTTATATCAATAACTCTCAAAGCAATAACTGCAGTGCACGGATTTGTTGGACAACCCTTGTATAATAAATTAATAATAGTTAATATAACGACATCTCGATACGGACACAAAAGACGCATGCTAAACTCGAATTTGATTAAAAAAGAAAGTTAGTTTTTATACCTTTACATGTTAAACCGTCCTCATTCAAAAGTCGTTTCTGTTCACAAACACATTTGTATGTTCCATCGAAGTTGATACACTTCTCTTCACATTTACCATTATGGTCTGCACATTCGTTTATATCGAAACATGAAACCAAATCAAAGTCAAGATTGTACCCGTCTTGACATATACATTTGAATGATCCGTCAAGATTTTCACATTTGTGTTTACAGCCACCATTTTTATCAAGACATTCATTAATGTCGATGCATTCCTTTTTGTTTACATGTAGTATATATCCGTCGGTGCATGAACAACTGAAAGACCCATTAACATTGATGCATACCTGACCGCAACCACCATTATCAGCAAGGCATTCGTTTATGTCAACACATGTCTTTTTGTCATCATGTAAACTATACCCGTCGCTACAGGAACAGATGAATGAGCCATCAATGTTGGTGCAAATAAGTTCGCAACCACCGTTGTTATCAAGACATTCGTTATTATCGATACATGATCGACTGTCAGTATGTAAGTCGAACCCGTCGTTACAGGAACACAAGAAAGAACCTTCCGTGTTGCTACATGTGTGAAGACAACCACCGTTATTGTTGAGGCATTCGTTCATATCGATACAGGTCCTGTCATTTTCATGTAAATTATATCCGTCCTTACAGGTGCAGGTAAAATGTCCATTTGTGTTGTTACACATGTGATCACAGCCCCCGTTGTCTTTAAGGCATTCATCAATATCGAAACATGTCCTGTTATTTTTATGTAAACTATACCCGTCCTTACAAGAGCAGACAAACGAGCCGTCCTTGTTGCTGCAGGCGTGATCACAACCACCATTGTTACTTAGACATTCATTAATATCTATGCATGTTCTATTATTTCCATCTAAACTGTACCCGTCGTTACAGGAACAGCTAAACGAGCCATCGAAATTGTTACATATTTGATCACAGCCAACGTTACCGTCAGTACATTCGTTTATATCGACACATGTTCTATTATGTTCATGTACACTAAATCCGTCCTTACAAAAACAGGTAAACGAGCCGTCTGTGTTGCTGCATTTGTGATTACAACCCCCATTATCCACGATACATTCGTCAATATCGATACATGTTCTCTCATTTCCTAGTAATTCAAATCCGTCGGTACAGGAACAGATATATGAACCATCCGTGTTGGTGCACACATGACTGCAACCACCGTTGTTGACGAGGCATTCATCAATGTCGACGCATGTTATGTTGTTTCCATTTAAATCATACCCATTGTTACATGAACAGTTAAATGAACAATCTGTGTTGATACATATGTGATTACAATCACCGTTGTTTACGAGGCATTCATCAATGTCGACACATGTTCCATTGTTTCCATTTAAATGGTATCCGGTGTAACATAAACAGATGTATGAACCATCCGTATTGCTACAAGTGTGATTACAACCACCATTGTATTTCAGGCATTCATTTATATCAACACATGTTCTCTTATCGTCTTGTAAAGAATACCCATCATTACAGGAACAGGTGAATGAACCAACTGTGTTGTTACAGATCTGATTGCAACCAAAAGGGTTTTGGTCCGCACTACATTCATTAATATCTTTTTAAAAATAATAAAATGAAGAAATATTACCAATTATTTTGTAAGTAAAATAGTCCATTAATAATTCTCATATAGGATATTCATATTCACTGGGTGTTGTATCAAAATTCACGGGACTGAATTGGATTTTCCCAGCAAAAAATGGGTTTGGACCCCATATTCAATGATAAATTCCCCGGGTAGATTTTTTAATTTAGGGCGTGTTAATTAAAAAAAAGTGCTACACCGCAATGATGAGTATAAATTTGGGAATTTTTTTTGTTTTGCCCCAGAAAATAAAACGCCAAACACGTGCGTCTTTTTTCCCCCCCCGCTTCAACCAGGAAAAATTTTGGGACATGTATATAAGGTTGAAATTTTTTGGTGATTTTTTTAATTAGCCTTTTCCTTTTAAAATAAAACAATTATTGACAGTTAAAGCCACGGGAAATATAAGGGTTGATATTCAGAGCCCAAAAAACAATTTTACCTCGGCAAATCACCTCGGCAAGTGTCATCTGCCTTTTGGAATATCACATCTTTATAAAATTTGAACCCACTAGTCAATAATTGATGCATAAAAAAAAAAATTTTTGTTAAAAGTTAAAGGAACATAAAAATTGTTTTTATTTATAAATTAGTGAAAATTTTAAAAAAAGTACTTGTTATAATTTGTTTCAATTACTTTTTTACTTTAAAAACCCCCACAATTTTTACAATAATTGCTTCTAAATACTTAAAACCCGATTGTAAAATGTTGATGTTTTAAAATAAAAATTTGTTTAAAGTTTGTTTATTTCCCCTAAAACATGAAATTTCCCAAATTTTTAATCAAAAAAAAATTTTCCTTCAAAGCAGGAGCACATGTATGCCCCTTATCGTTGTTTGATAACAAGTGTGAACATTTTTTCCACCATTTTTAATTTTTAAACATCTGTGTTATAAAATTGAAAAATAATTAACAAAAAATATGGTATGATCCTTTAAAACAAAAAACAGTTTTAAAATTTTAAAATTGTTACCCCAAATTAAAAAAAAGAATTTTTTTTATTTAGAAACAAATTTTTGGGGAACTATTACATCGTTACAGTCCCATAAAAACGGGTATTGTTTTTGCACACGAAATTTTTAAATTTTTGGGGTTTAACCCCAAATAGAGAATTAATAAGATTTGAAAAGAATAAGATTCCCATTTTGTTATATATTGTGATTTTGTAAACATAAACACAACATGTTTTTATTTTAAGTACAAAAATATAAAGCACCCGGAAGGGGTTTTAATATTAGTCACTCCCCATTCCCACCCAATACAATTGTACTTGTCTTTTAAGAATAAATTTTTCTTTTAACGTTTTAAAACGGTCAGAATTTTGAAACCTTTTTCCTTTGGGATAATCGTTCATTCTTCGGGCCAAAAAAAATAAAAAAAGGTTCCGGAAAAAATCGCCTATACCCATTGCAAATAATGATACATCGCTGCCGTATAAACAGTCTGTTTTGTGAAGTTTTTAAAAAACGTGGGACCCCTTTTAGAAAATAAATTCAAAACTGCCCAAGGGCCTTTTAAATTTGTTAAAGAAAACCCATACTCAAATCGGATGCAGTATAAATTATAGGGGAAGATTCTTTTCTGAAATGTTTGAATCATTTTAAATTTAAAGATCAAGAATTGACTTTTGGATGTTTTTATTTTTGGGAAAATAGTTTCTAATTCTAAAGAACGTACAATTTGGGAAAATAGCTAAAATATGCAGCCCGGGAAGTCTTCGCATTCGGATTCATTGAAAAAAATTTCCCTTGTCATTTTTTTCATCGAGGGTAAACCGGGCTTTTTTGATAATAAATTTGGGTCTAAAACAGATTTCTTTTATCACCCACGCTTTTATTTTAAACACTTCCCGGGCCAAACTTAATTTCAAAAGCATTTGGGATTTTTCAGCAGTCCGTTTTTGTTTTTCATTGATTCCCTTTGTCAATGTCATTATCTGTATATTGTAACCCACACAGCATATTCGTTACTTACCCCGACGCTGTCATTTGTCTTTTTCAGAGGGTTAATTTTACTGTAAACTCTTTTTACTGCCTTTTTAAACTTTTGTAAAAATTCTCCGATGAAAGCTTTCGAACCCATTTCAATTTTTTGCAAAAGGTTTTAAAAAGATCTTGCTTTAAAAGCTTTTGTACAATGTTATTTTTAAAAACTTTTTCCCTATTTTAATTCACTCTACTTTCCAAAATTTCACTCTCGTTGATCCACGAAAGCCCCCTGATATTTTTACTCAAACAATCTTTTTCATCAAGGTTTTTTAAGGTATTTTTAACATCACCCCGATTCCCGAATTTTGCGAAGAAACAAATGATTTTTGTGAGGGCTCGAACCCCTATATCTCTACGTTTACGACCGGGGAAAATATTCCCCCAAAAAAGTATCAAATTTTTTTTAAATTTTAAATTTGGGTTCCCCGTGCTGCCTCCCCAAATACTTTTGAATATTTTTAAAAAATTTTATTTTTAATTTAATTTGGGCCCAAGCCGGCTTAAATGCATTCACTTAAATTTGAAACTTCAAATACAGGAAGGATTTTGGTTGACATTTTTTATCAAAACCCACAGTTTTTAACATCTAAATCTTTTTTAAAAAGCCATACTTTTTATGACAAATTAAAGAACTTCAGGGGCCCACCCGCCGAGGGAAAAATTTTAAATTTTAAAGAAATTTTTTGTTCCCTTTTAAAACCCCTTTTGACATCCAGGCCAATATTTGCTAATTCTAAACTTCCTTCTGCCACAACCCAAAACAACACGAGATTTATCTACTACAAACCTGAGCAAACTGAAACAGCTGCTAAAGCAACATCATATGCAAGGCATCGCAACCCTTACAAATATTTTTGCTAAGTTTCTTAGTAAATATTAAGCTGCAGCTCGAATTATCCGAGCAAGCTATATTTGCCAGGAACGCAAAATTGGATCTGGAAAAACTTATCATACAACTTGTGGAATTTGCAGCATGGATAAGGTATCTTTGCAAAACCATACTTTCTTGTTAGCAAATTCTACATTTAATGCCCAACAGGTATGCAAATTTTTTTTGCATGACCTTTATTGTACACAAATTATTGATATCTCGCTGTTCTTTTTTCCAATTTCTGTATTGCCTCATGCAGAGGCCCCTTTGCTTTTTTAAAGGTTTTGTTTTTTTGTTCAAGTTTTTCACAGCTTTGTCAAAAAACAACTTTTTGCAGCTTTTACGTTTGTTCTTTTTGTCAAACCCAATTTTTGTGCTTTATTTAATCCTTTTTGGTTTGAAGTGAGCCCCCCGTTTTGCACTTTAGTTAACCTTTTTGGGGTGTTTTCCCCGATATCACCCGGGAAATAACTTTCTTAAAAAGCATCCAATTTAACTGCTTTAAAAAAGAAGAATTTTCTGTTTTGTACCTGTCGCGATGTTTTTGAAATACTGTTTTGCGGAGGGGGGTTCCCCAATATTTTTTCCATGTTTGTAATCACGGCTTTTTCCTTGCTTTTGCAAAAAAATGGGTTTCAGAAGTTTAAAAAGTCAGTTCATCCCAGTTTTTCCCCACCTCCGCTTCAACGTCTTTTTAGCTAAAAAATGTCCAGTGTTTCCTTCAAAAATAAAAATTTTGGGCCTTTTATCTTATAAAAAGATCTCAGTTACTTTTATCCCTAGTTTTATATGTGCCGCAAATGCAAAGAAAGTTGACGAATTTTTGGGGAAAAGTGCAATGCCAAAACCTGCCCCTTTTCTCATATTTAAAAAATTTTTTTCCAAATTTTTTTTCTTTTGAAACCCTTTCCCCTAGAACTCGCACAGCATTTTCCCCATCCATTTAATTTTCTTAACGGCTTAAAAACGGCTACATCAAAAAAGGGGTTCTCCATTTTGAATATATCAATTCAAAGTCGAATCCAGCAAATTTTTTAAACCCAAAAAAAGGGCCCAGTCTGGGTTGAACTTCAACCCAAAAACCCCGTGTATTTTCCCAAACAGAAGATACAATATTATCATTTAAAATTTTTCGTTTTTATTTCTGACATATCCTCTATCTTTTTTGACTTTGTTTCATCTAGTTTTTTTTTAACAAACTGATTTTTCGTTTTATTTTTTAAAAAATTTCGTTCTATCTTTTAAAACAATAAGTGTTTACCTTATATGTTCTGGGTTTTTTTGTGGTACCATTGATATTTTTGTTTCAGCTCTTTTAGTTTTCCGTAAACAAATCATTTTAAATGTACGGGGTTTTTTTTTGTCTTAATTATTTTTTTAAAGAATTTTTTTATTTTTTACAACAACTGTTTCAATTGTATTTGAAAAAAACCCGGTTCGATTTTTAAAAAATCCTTCGTTAAGTTTTTTCTGGGGGTTTTTGTTTAAGAAATTGCATTTTTTAGTATATTAGTTTCCCTATTACTAAACCGTATTCCTTCAAAAGGATTATTTTTTGGATCTGTTTTCAAAAACAAATGAACAGGGATTTAATAAAGAAATTTCTTTCAAAAAAAGGTATTCCCTTAAAGGGGGTTTAAATTTTCAACCATTACTGAGAGATACAATCCTTCGGGGTTTTTAACCCATCACCACCCCAAATTGGGACACTTAAACCCTTAAAAATGAGATGTTTATGTTTCACACATCTTTATACCCCTTTGTTTTAGCAGACGACAATATCTACAGGGGGGAATGGACTCAATTTTTTACTTAAAAAAAATACTACCTTTCAGTTTTAAAAACTGTTTAAACCCTTTAAATAATTTAAATGAATAAAACTAAAAATAAAACACAAGGCATACTTGAAAAAATAATTTATGTTTAATTCATTTTGATTTTTTGCTGATATCCCTTACTTAAAGAATTTTACCTCCCATAGAAATTTTATGCATTTGCAGTAGATGTAAGCAATGGAAGGGGCACAGAAAGTTCCTTGCCAAAAAAATCAATCGGGAGAACAAGGGTGACAAAAAATAGTTGGATATCGATAAATCCTGTCCACTCCCTTTTACAAACATTGATGTTAATTTTTACAAATTTTAAAAAAGTCAGTTTATTTAGATTAATTCAAAATAAAAAACCCAAACACAACAACAATAAAAAAAAAAAGCAAAAAAAAATTTATCCCTCATCATCATTTCAAACATTTCCCCCATCCAAACCCTCAACAACAACAAAAAAAAACAAAACATCCCAAATTAAAAGCCGAAACCCGTTTATTTTAGCATTTTACAAAAATTTCAGAAACGCACTTTTCAATTTGGGAAAAAAAATATCACCCAAGGGGATCGAAAAGTTTGTGTCCCCTTTATTTTGTGTGGGCCACATCTTCTAAGACAAAATATAGCATTTTTCACATTTGTTTAATGTATTATGAAGATATTTTCCTTTAAATTTTATTTGGAAAACCCCACCATTTTTTTAAAAAACATGCCCCCGAAAAATGCTAACGGCCGGGTGAGCACACAAAATTTTGCGCTTGGACGGGTTCCAGTCCCCTTTCTATAC